GTATGCTACAACTGCAAACCCTACCTAAACTGACAGACTGAACAAAAAGAGCACTGGTCAGAGAAGCTTTCCAGAGGCAGATGGTCACTCTGGAGGAGCTGCAGATTTCCATAGCTCAGGTGGGAGAATCTGTCCACAGGACAACTGCAAGTCATGTATTCCACAAATCTGGCCTATATGGAAAAGTGTCAAGAAGTCATGGTTGACAGAAAGATATAAAAAGTCATGTTTGGAGTTTGCCAGGAGCCATGTAGGGGACACAGTAAACATGTGGAAGAAGGTGCTCTGCTCAGACGATGTCATAGTCCTGAGTCTGGTGACTCAATGTTTTTGTTTTTGATTATTTATGTTCTTTGTCTCTGTTTGTTTCTTGTTACACTTTAGTGATTTTTAGATCTTAGGTTTTGTACTCTTCCTCCTGCATATTTCATGTGTCATGTTGAGTCAGTTATGTTTTCTTCTCTATGTTCGTGTGTCTCCAAAGTCAGTCATGTCTCCATGTCACAGTTTGTTACTCTTTTCTCTGTGCTCCATGTTCACTCTGTCTTCCCTGTGTGCTGCGTCTCTTTATTCCACGTCTCCGTGCCCGTCTTGTGTTTCCTATTTTACTATGACAGATTTGTATCCTTCGTTAATGTTTTAAGTTTTGCTTTTTCCACTGCCCTTCATCACATCATACCCTAACAGTGTTGTGTGTTTCCTCTGTGTTTCTGGTAATGTTCTGGTTCCCAGTTTTTGTCTTCTAGTTTCCTAGTTTTCTAGGTGGAGTTTCATGTTTGAGTTTCTAGTTTAGTTTCCTTGTATCTCATCATAGAGGTTTTGTACAGGCTAAATAAAGCTGCCTCCCTGAGTTATTCCTTGGATTCCTGTGAGTCTTGCGTTTGGGTCCTTCATCTTGCCTGCTGCACAGCATAACATGACAGACCAGATTGAAGGTAAAGTTTTGGGACTAAAGGCAAAGCGCTAAGTGTGGCGGAAAAGTAACACTGCTCATCTCCCTGAGCACAACATCCCCACTGTGAAACATGGTGGTGGCAACATCATGCTGTGGGGCTGTTTTTCTTCAGCAGGGACAGGGAAGCTAGTTAGAGTTGATGGGAAGATGGATGGAGCTAAATACAGGACAATCCTGTTGGAGTTGGCTGCGAATGACTTGAGACTGGAAAGGAGATTCACCTTCCAACAGACAGTGACACTAAACATACAGCAAAAGCTACAATGGAATAGTTTAGATCAAAGAATATATTCATGTGTTAGAATGGTCCAAAGTCTGTGACAAGACTTGAAAATAGTTCTTCACAGACACACTCCATCCAATCTGGCTGAGCTTGAACTATTTTGAAATGAAGAATGGGCAAAAATGTTCATCTCTAGATGTGAAAGTTATGTTGAATTTACTAAATCCGTGTATATGTGTGTCTGTGTGCGTAAGTATACATAAAACAACAAAATTAATTAAAAAAACAATTAATTAATCTGTAACAAAATTATATATGCTATATGTGTGTGTATAAGGACATATGTCTACAACTTACTGATTTTAAAATGTCAAATAATAATCTTGATGTGTGTTATGCAGTCATTATGTAGTGGATATTTTAACATGGCAGAGAAAAATGGAATGGCGATTAATCTTTTTCAGATACTATATTGAAGGCAACTACATACTGAATACTTGTGGTCAAAATTAGAAAACCAGATATGCAGAGTCTTAGAATGTCCTAAGATAATGCTATGAAAATGCTACTTTAGTTACTTTAGTCTTAAAAATGGTATACATGGATTTATTATTCACTTTACCAACAATTACCCCAAAAGTGATGTCATCTTTAGCTTAATCAAGAGGGTTTATTAGTACATACTTCCAACTGCAGTTGTAGACAGGTGTAGTTTTCTGTATGGTAAATAGAGTTCTAGTTCCTGTTGTCTTTGTGTGATACTTCTTTAGTATAATACCTTTCGTGAGTTTTCTTTCCCTGAGTTTGGAAAAAAAAACTGCAATTATACCTTCATGTAAACATTTTCTTCAAAATTATGTGATCTGTGTGTGTTACACTTGAAAAAAAGTTGTTTTTTTTAACATGTTTCTGTGTTGGATTGATGATAGGTTTGGAAAAGAAAAATGCAGTGATTAATACCCTGACGGAACTAAAGAAGGAGCTTGGGAAACACAGAGATCAACTTACACAGCAGCTTGAAAGAATAGGGACCGGGAGAAATGAGAACAAGATGAAGCTTCGACAAGTGGAAAACACACCTGACTTTTTGAAAGAAAAAGATGACCTATTAAATGTCAAATCGAAACTAGATGACGAGCAGAGAACATATGGAACTTTTGTGCTCAATGTGGACCAGATGCTAGAGACAACAAATACTCTACTTGTAATAGTGACTGAGTAGTTGATAATGTACAACACACTGATCTCACTGACTTTGTGTTTGAAAAATGTTTTTAAATATGAAATTCTCCTTTCTCAGTTAATGAAGCTCCACTGAGCTTTCTTTGTGACAAAATGGAATAATAGAATTAATAATTAACTGTACTATAAGGCAGGTCAATCATCTACAATTTCTATGCATGAAGAAAGAGTAAATTTATTTTGAGGTTGTCTGAGAGTCACATATTTGTATTTTATGTCTGGGTATTGTAAAAAACTCCAATAAAAACTCCAAGCTGTTAATGGTTTACCAGCCTAGTTCTGCACATACTGCACAGGTGTCGATTGCCTTTCTTATAAAAACAAATTTCTACTCATCAGCTGTTTTGGTTTGTATGATCAGTATACATTACAACTGAGTTTCAGTTCTGTTTTTGGCTTGTTTTTTTTCTAACTGACAAACAGACAACACTGTATGTTTCAAAGTTAAAGACATTTGCACACTTGGTGTTAAATCTCATTGCTGTACTTTATTAATTCCAGTTCCTGTTGGAATGCGCATCGGCAGTTTTTCTGTAGCTTAATTTGTGTAGGTCAATTAATAAATTACTAACTTTTACTTTTGTGTAGAGTTTGCATGTTCTCGCCATGTTTATCTGTGTTCTGTCCCAGTACTTCAGCTACTTCCTTTTTTCCAAAGACATGCAGTTAAGGCAGTAGGGTTGCCCATATGTGTGAATGTCTGTGTAAATGGTTGTCTGTCTCCGTGTGTTAGGTCTGCAACAGACTGGCGATCTTTCCAGGATGTAACCCTTTACCTCCTGAAAAGTTACAACAGCAATGTACTATTGGTTCTGAACTACTCATGCTCACATCTTACACACTTCTATTGCTTTGTCTTTAATTATGCTCAGCAGGCAAAGTATTGCAAGTCAATAATTACCAGAGACAGAGAGAAGCAGAGTGTACCTTGATCTACATAAATCCTAGATCAAGGTACATTATTATAGTACTTTCACTTACTGACTGCACTGAAGTAAATGTTGAGAGCAACAACAGGTATGAAATCTTGTTTTGACATTACTTGGTTAAAATTAGTTGTCATGTGGATATAGGTGGGGGGCACACTGTCTTCGTGTTTAAATAGTTGTTTTAAAAACCGACAGCTTGATATTCAGCATTTTATGATTGAGTTACTCAGGAAATTGGAATATTACTATTAATTTTTCTGCATAAGACAGTGGTTAATTCATTTTGAGGTTGAGTATGACAGTTATTGAAACATAAGTCATACATTTGTATTCTATGACTGAGTACTGTAAACAACTCAATAAAAACTGTCATTACCAGGTTCAACCATATTTAAACAAACTAGTAGGCTAATTGTAGTCATATGATTGGTTGTGTGGCTAGAATTTAGCTGTTAATTTGTAAGTTCTTCATCTTTAACTTAAACTGGTTTTGTTTTGATAAGGTCAGCTCCTGATTTTAATAAGTCCTAAGTCCTAAATTTTGAGATGAATGGGTGTGTTGAAACATTTGGCTGGTAATACAAATTGTCAGCTTGTGTTTGGTTCTATACCACTATCCGATGCTGTTGTATGTATAAATGCATAAACCATATGAATGTTCATGCTGCTGAATATATATTACAATGATTTCAATGACAGGGACCTTTATAGATATAGTAATTTCTGCTGTTGACCACATGTGGGAAGTATCATCTCTCAAAATATTTGTACCCATAACATTTAGTTTCAGAATGTACTCAGTTTATGTAACTGACCTCCAACTTGCAATCTGCAAAATTCAATGCAGTAAGCAATGGCAGAAAGAGATAAATAAAACAGCTGCAGGCCAAACAGATTAAAAATACGCCTGATATTATTACAGCAAGAGGGCAGCATGTGACCCCTAGCACCAATCTTATGCAGCACACTTGAAAGAGTTTAGATCAGAAGACTGTAAAGCAGCCCTGGCAGGTTGTTTCACTCGCCTCTTCCCCTGAATCCCAGAGCTATTGTATTATTTTTTTACATGCATACAGTAGTACACATCTGTTTTATCTTTTATGCATTAAAGAGGTTTAATATTAGATCACAGCAAATTAATCGATCTAGCAGTAGTTCTTATATATTCACAATACAGCACAGTCTGAACATAGTTTTTTTTTTTATTTTATTTATTATTTATTCATTCTTTCACAGAACATCATGGTGCTAAAGCGAAGTAAGAGGCAGCCTACATCAAGTCTCACATGTTTCATTTTTCATCAGGCTCCTGTTCTGCTTCTCCTAACATGCTGCTGTGAAGGTAACTTTGGGAAAACAAAACAAAATAAACAGACTTGATTAAAGACTGCATCTTTTTTAGAGTGATTTTTAGTAATGGGTGATTTTAACTGCCACTGACAGCATAACATGTTATGCTGATTGGCATTGGGTTTGAAAAAACATACAATTGTTGTGTTCAGCTGTTACATATAAATAACGATTTTATAAAATAAGTTTGGATAAGTAAGGGTCTCATTGCAGGAATCATCTTTGCAGGTCAGATTCAGGTCATTGGTCCATCGCAGGCAGTAACTGTGATGGTGGGTGATGACATTATTTTGCCATGCCATCTGAAACCAGCTTCAGATGCTTCTGCTATGACCTTTGAATGGGCAAGACCTGACCTTAAACCCAGATTTGTCCATGTGTGGCATGAAGGTCAAGACCTCCATGTTAATCAGCATTCATCTTTCAAAGGACGAACATCAGTAGACATCACTAAACTGAAGCATGGAGATATTTCACTGAAACTCTCCAAAGTAAAACACTCAGACAAAGGAGTATACAGATGTTACTTTCCAGATTTGGATAAAGAGATTACTGTCCAGCTTGTTGTTGGTAAGCAGAAGTTATTTTTGTGCCTTTTTTATGTGTTTATTCAGATGTCTTTAAATAGCCATTAGTACTGCATGCTTGGGGTGATAATTATTACCCTGTCCTTCAATTGATGCTCATTTTGCTCACCAGGGAGTGTTTCCCCGGCAGTAGTAAGGTTAACTGGAATTGACCAATCCATAAGTGGAGTGGTGTTACAGTGTGAGTCTGCAGGCTGGTATCCAGAGCCTGAGCTGCTGTGGTTGGACGCTGAGGGAAACCTCCTCTCTGCTGGACCTACAGAGACCCTCAGAGGTCCTGATGACCTCTATACTGTCAGCAGCAGAGTGACTGTGGAGAAGAGACACAGCAACAACATCACCTGCAGAGTCCAACAGAGGAACACCAACCAGAGCAGAGAGACACACATACATGTTCCAGGTAGAAAATAACTTTATTTGGGTATGGTTCTATATTTGTATATATTCATAAGTCTAACTTTTTCTCATATTTCAGATGATTTGTTTGGGACTCCATGTAGCTCTGCAGCTTGCATTGCCATCAGCATGACTGCTTGTGTCATGAGTGTCCTTGTACTCATCTTTGCTTTGTGGAAAAACAAACACAGTAAGTTAAGTCATCAGTGTATTAGTTTTAACCTTCTTGGATTTGTGAAATTTACAGTATAACTCTTCATATGTCTGTTTATAGGTTTTGTTAAAGTAGCAATAAAAAATACAGATGGGTTTTTACCATTTTTTTGAAAATATTTTTGTCACTGAAACACATTGGATTTAAAATGTATTATTTAAATGCCCTACTGAGATTCTAATATTAAGTCACATTTAAGTTGTTCTTGTGTGTCCTGTTAAACTTTCAAGCATCAGTGCATTAGCTGTGAAACTTCCTGTTTGTCTGTTTGATAACAGAAACCACTATGACCCGACAACAAGAGAACTTGGACCACACAGAGAATCAAAAAATGAAGGATAACATGATTAAACTTACGAAAGAATTACAGAAGAAGGAGGAAGACCACAAAAACATGGTGGGGACACTGATGTTACACAAGAAAGAATTGAAAGAAGAGAAAGATAAATTTAAACTGCAATTAATGAAAATGGAGGAAGTGGTGGATGTCAGTGAAACGGAGCTCCACTCAAAGGAGCAAGAAAAAGGTTCCTCTAGTGCACCATCTTTAGATCTTAAAAAAAAAGTCTTAGAATACAAATGGAGCATGAATGAAACAGTGACAGCATCTGAGAAACTGGTACTAAGCATAGAGAAAATGTTACAATATATAGAAACTGTGGCAAGCCCTGGTTTACAGAGTACGGACTCAGGACACAGTATTTGTGAAGACAGTACACTGATATCAGAGGAAGAAAAAAAAAAAAGAGTACAGCAATCACATTAATAGTGTGATTTTTTTTGCAGGAATGAAGAAATGCTCATGCACTATTTGCAAATTACCACATTTAGAATTTGTTTGGTGAAGTAGTGTAAAGTGATGCATTTCAATATATGTCAACATAAATTTTGATGCTGTGGAAATTTAGTGCCTAAATAAAGGAAATCTGCTGGAGTTGTCCTTTAAAAGTTTTATTTGTACAAGAAGGAATTCAGTCCACACAGCGCACACAGCAGTGCAGTAAGGAATTCACTGGAACAGAAGAAACAGACCCTACTTATACAGGGTCCCACCGTAGTTGAGTACCCTAAGAAATAAAAAAGGACACTCAATTAGGGAGTTTCTGCACACCTCCAGTTCTACATGCAGGGGTCAAGGGGTTAAGCATAACACAGGCATAAGAAAAAGACAGCTGTATCTTTAATATATAACAGAATGATCTACAAAAATCTAAAATGAATCATGGCCATAAAAAACAAGAAATAACATGCAAGCCACACTCATGAGGTCATGGTGGTTGAGATGGACTCTGAAGTCAGATACTAGTAGCGAGTGGCAGAAATGTTTTATTTAAACCAGGAGCTTTGCAAATGGTGGGAAGGATGTTAACTGAGTTTGAGGTGAACTGCTGAATTGACATTTGTGCTGAATTTGTGAAATTGGAAGATGGACAAGTCTTGCGTGGAAATTATAGATTTTAGGCCCAAGGTTTCCTCTGAGTGAGAGGAAGGTTGACAGTAAGACTAGTGGGGAGCTGGCAGGCAGGTGAGTTTTCCATGCGAGTCCTTCCACACTGTTTTCTGACAACATCAAGTTTCTTGTAAAAGCTTGAGGCAGTGCTGAAGTCCGATGTGGTGAATGAATCACAGGAAACAATGAGCCACTCAGGAAATGAAAAACCTAAAGCAGATGGAATATTTGCATTAATTAAAGAAAGTAATTAAATGCATCACCCATATTGCACCATGATCATATGAATAAAATGGTGACCTAACTAGAAAAAACCATTACTTCATAAAATTATCTAACACTAATGACATACTGTCCAATAGCACCAGAGTGGAATAAAAATACACGGCAGTACAATAAATACAATTTTAACTGTGCAAGTGCTCAAATAATGTTATTTCCCTTAGTAACACACTGCTGAACATACTACTACTAAAATAGACCTAAACTATGTTTGTTCTGTTTTGGGGTTTTTTTCAACATAACTTTATTTATATCATGGGGGCAATTCAGAGTATATAGATGTATCAAACACTAGGGGGCAACAAAGAGTCATAAGTAGTCATTGGTCCTGGGTCATTTGATCCAGCGTATCTATGTTTCTGAACTTATTAGTGTTCATTTGAATATTCTATGTTGATTCATGCTTTAATATATACTTCATGTATTCTGACATGTATTTGGTCTAGCTTTCAGTTCTTTGTTTGTATATTTGTTTGTCCTAGTCTCCCTTTGTCCATTGTCAGACTGTTTCCTTTTGTATTCTTTTCTTTTTGTTACGTTGTACTTTCATCAGCTATTTAATCAGCTAAACATTTAGCTTTTGTTCCCTGCAGTCTACCTGTGCCTGTCTGCATTTGGGTCCAGTTTACAATGTATGATCTGCATTTCCTGTTGATCCTAACAACTCTAGGCTTGAATATTTGAAAAAAGATATTTTTGGAAATGGCTTATTATCCAATAATCAAACTCAAATGTAGATGCAGATGTTTGTAAGTTGTGGTCACCATACTTCAACATCAAGCTACTGCTACAGCAGAGGGTTGAGCATAAGGGGAGTAATGTTTTTTCAACTGGCAGGTAAAAATATTGTCAAATACATAAGAACAGAAAACCAGTGATTCAGTGAAAAACAAAGAAACTAAAACTCAAAAGCAGTCTAAGGGAGTCATTTTTGCACTGTACCTGACTCCAACGATGGGTTTTATAACAAAAAGAAAAGAAAAAAGAAAACAAGGGCGTACTCTGTTGTGTGACTTTATCAGTAAGTAGTTTCTCATTACTGGCTAGCTGCAGTGAAATGGGGAAATCTAGCCATGAGCTATAATGCTAGAATTTGTAGAGCATTTCATAAATGACTGTGTGAGTCAGGTGCACCAGTGGTTCATCTGACTGAAAAGCTAGAGTTAGACACTCCTCCTGATTTTTCCTCATAGTTGGGTGTACTGAGCAGTGCAATCAGCTCGGAAACCACAAGTTTTCAAGGTCCAGTCAGTACGATATTATGTATTTTTCCCAAGCACATCCAAACAGTTTACAACATAACAGGTTAGTAACTGAGCATAAGACAGCAAACATAACAGTGTTTCTTACTGAAGCACAATTGAAGCATACCTACTAGTACTACGAGTAAATCTGAAAATGTCATGTTCAGTTAGTAAAGAAACTCACACAAGCTCATGTGCTGCATCTCTGGAAGGGGAAGGAGAGGAAGAACACTGAGTGTTTCATTTTCATTCTAAATGGTAAAATATAAATGCTTAATAAATACTTAACTGAACTATCATAACAGCGATGGAAATTTTTAGTGTTAGTTCATGTTTCAGTTAAACTGAGTTGAACATAATTTGAGTGTGTGGTTTTCAGAAATACACAGTGGTTCATTAGTGACGGTGTGTTTTTAATAGATGTCAGTGGTTTAATATGTTAATGGGAACATAAAGCAGCAGTGTGCTGTCATGTTGGTTGCTAACCACAGTAAATGTATTTAGAAAGAAGTAGCATCTGTGTTTATTTGAACGGCAGCTTCAGACGTGGTAACAAACTGAGCAAGTAACACAAGGTCGTTCAACTGACACCAACAATGTGACTAAGACAGAGACCAATATAGAGACAGTGGGTGGGGGATGTGATGAATCTATGTTTGCATGTGTAATAATAGGCACAATCTGCTCTTTGCCACTGAAACACACATTCATTATGGTAGTTTTAGATAGAAGAACTAATTAGAAGAGCCTGAGGAAATGAGAGTACAACTTTATTTCTGTTAGAACCTGAATATCCTTGGCTCTCCAACTGGTTTCTGTACTTTCTGTATTTCCTGACATTAGGGTACACAGGAATTAATCTTAAGCAAATTTAACTTCTGTCCACTCCAAGCACATCCCTATGGCTTCAGTGTTGTCCAACAACTTAAAGGCCAACTTAAAATCCTTTAATTTTCTCAAAATCGTCAGTACACCTTATAATCCAGTGCACCTTATGTATGAATTCTAGTTGTGCTTACTGACCTCGAACCAATTTTATGTGGCACACTCAAAAATCTGTCAAAAAATGATTTAGTCTGACTTTGGTAAGCTACGAAGCCGTACTGCTTTATGCAGTGTCGGAGCATTATGGCTACCCTAGTCAGGAGCCTCGCGGAGTAATCAGGGTCAAAACTACGCTTCAGGTCCCAAAATCAAACAAACACTGCAGCATCACCAAGAGTTAACAACTGGCTAAATTAAAACGTACAGCTCTTCTATCACTTCCAACAGAAATGAAGACAGAAAACTAAAGAGCAGTGACTTTTATAGGATTACTGAAGTTGGGCTAGCTGGTGTATAATGATGTGCTACGTGATCGCTAGCGTCACAGCTAAGTTATCATAACATAAACATAGTGAAGCTGGAGAATGAATGCTAACTTTTTTCCACTTGATAAAAGTTAACATGAGGTTTCCTGATGGTTGGGGACAAATGAAATCGCATGGAAAGATGCTGTAAACGGACCAAACTTCATTCAGGAGAACAACTGAGATAATCCATCCACAATCGCGTTGTTGCAGTTTATTAATGGCTAACCTCATATTAGTCAGAACCCGTTCATCGACATTACGCCTTATAATCCGGTGCGCTTTATGGTCTGAAAAATACGGTATTTTGTTATTTTTTGTTCCTTTAGTGTTTTGGTTTTACAAATTACACTGACTGCAGAAAAACAAAAAAAAGCTAAAAGTTAAAAAAAAAAATACAAAAGCAGACAATACAAATTTTAAAATACACACAGAAGAATGTAGATGTGCCATTTCAGACAGAAAAAAAAAATCTGTGTTAATAACATAAGAACTTTTAATGTTTAATAGTCTAGCAAAAGAAAGTCCAGCAAATAAAAAATGTATGGGCCTTAGTCAGTAAGTCAGTTAGTAGGGTTAGGTTAATTGATGTTTCTAAATTCCCCACAGGGGTGAATGCGAGTACGAATGGTTGTCTGACTCTATGTGTTAACCCTGTGACAGACTGGCGACCTGTCCAAGGTGTACACCACCTCCCGGCCTATGACACTGAGATAGGCTCCAGCCCCAGTGACCCTATAATGGATAAGCACAGTGTTGCCAACTTGGTCGCTATATTTAACGAGTTTTCAAACCCCCTCAGCGACTTTTTTTCTAAAAAGCGACTAGCGACAAATCTGGCGACTTTTGCTGATGTTATTAGGAAGACTTATGACCACTTTTCGACACTTATCACTTTTACTCTCAACAAGCACCGCTGTGGGCACCTCGCCCGTGCCAAAGCACTCATAGGTGGCGGATCGTCGTCACGCAGCAGTCACCCCCAGCTGCTGTCAGAGCAGGAGATGTTAACTCTACGTGTCCAAACTGCAAATGAGCAAAGCCGCTGTTCCCACTCTGACTGTAATACACTTTTCTTAACTGAAGTTGTACTCACAGTAAGTTCTTCTTTTACTCTCACTTTTTGTGGATCACAAGGTTTAAAACTACTTAAAAACACACATAGACACATACACACACAAAAAGTAAATCCACCAGAGTGACTATTTCAGGTCACTTTTGCCAGTACCAAGTAGTGATGGGATTTCTGGCTCTTTTTAGAGATCCGGCTCTTTCGGTTCGGCTCACTAAAAAGAGCCGGCTCTTTCGGCTCCGAACCGGCTCTTCAGGTTGTTTTGTTGCTTTAATTAATTTATTATTAACAATAATATAAAATTATGCACAAAAGGAATTACTAACGTAAAAAAAAGTGGTTTTATTTGTATATGTTTATATATAAATATATGCGGTGGCCCCTAGAGACAAAACACGTACAAACTCCAAAACACATTTCTAGCATGAACTGAACTTCCAAAGCAGAGCTACTAGATCACTTAAATTACACAATTGAAAGCATGTGTGTATTGTTTGTGTATTTATACACAGGCACTC